CAGGGCCTTAAGTGTCTTGTTGTCTGTGGTCCCCCAGTGGTGGAATGAATTACCCAACTCTATTAGATCGGCAGAGTCCCTTTCCACATGTAAGAAAAGCTGAAGACCCAGCTCTTTCATGAGCACTTATATTGATGGCACTAATGATGATGATGTTGAAGTTGAGGATGGTGTTGTTTAGAATATTCACAAAATGCTGTTGATGTTGATGATGATAAAAAAACAATTGTATGCACTCTGTGATTTGCCTCTGTGCACTGCCTGTTCGCTACTGTGTCCAAACAGATTCAAGTCTGTTTTTTGCACTTACTGACGTCGTTTGCTCCTTCCTAGATCCTTGCTTGTGTTGTGTTTACTCTCAGATGTACTGTATGTTGCTTTTGACAGAGTTGTCTGCTCAATGAATTGTCGAGCCATGTTTCCCTCTCTTTACTGTGGCTGCAGCTCTTCTCTCACAGAGTTCCTCTCTTCCTCCCAGGTGAACGGCTGGGATATGACCGTGGTGACCCACGACAAGGCTCGTAAACGACTCACAAAGAAGGATGAAGATGTGGTACGGCTACTGGTAACCAGGAAGTCGTTGGAACAAGCTGTCAAACAATCTATGGGCGGTTGCCCCCAGACCGTAACGTAGTGGCACTTCTGATATCCACAGACTCGTGCAATATCCAAGGACTGAACACTCTCATACACAAAGACTCACACAAACTCAGATGATAGTGGCCTTTATAACTACATGACTGAAAATATTTTTCATGGATCACACACCAGCGTTCAAAGTTCTTACTCGTTGTGTTTATTGTCACCGTACACACACAAACTCACTTTGGTCATCTGCTATATCTCTAACAAAAGGAGAAATCCCAAACAGTTTTCAGCTCCACAAGTTTCATATTGTATTGACTTCTGTTACCCATCTGTTAACCAATACATAGCGAGAAGGACTGACCAGGATGAAAAAAATCCCCAATTTTGCCGATTTAAAAAAAAAAAGAAAAAAAAGAAGCTATATTAAAAGTATTATTTCAGGACATGAGGGCTGACCCATTATTGCAAATGTTCCCATCAATTACTGTTTTTTTTTTTTTTTTTTAACATTGGTGGACTGTAAGAAGTCTTTGGAAAATCTTTCATAAAAGCTTTTATGGTCCTTTGATTTATTCCCAGGAGATGTTTGCTACAGGTCTTCAATCCTCGAGGCACATTTGTATTCAGTCTTGTTGCAAGGTATTGGAAATCTTTGTGAGGAAAATCTCTGATCCCTTTGTGCCTACAGCTGACCAAAGTTAGCCTTCATGGTTTTTACACACATCAGTGAAGGAAACTGCTGTTAACAATAGTATTGATCAACTTTCCATCTGCAATTGTGTGTTCAATTTAGCTGTTATTCCTGTAGAGGTTACAGCGTCATATGCCAAAGTAACAGCTAAGGCACAGTGAAATGATCCAAATATGTAAAGCAGTGTATGTGTCTGTAGAGTCCTTTCATACATGCTCATGTCTTTTCACTACATTTTCTTTGGAATGATGATTCTTTCTATATATCTTTATGTTTGTTGATTTTTATGACTCTGTAGCAACTTTTCATTTCTTCCTCTTTGTGTTTGCGAGAGCTGAAGATATGACATCAGATGTAAACTACATACATTCTCACAAGTTAAACTTATCACGACTTGTGAAAACATTCCACGAAGCTACTCCTTCCTTTTGGATATTATAAATCTTTCATAGTCAGTACTTTGACTCTCCAGCATGACATTTATCACGTTTAGTATGCTAAAGTTTATGATTTGCTGTTTTGATTCAAACAAAGCCAATAGTTTCACACTGGAGTAACAGCTGCAGACTGTCTCAGAGTGTACATTTTTTGGAAGGCATGACCTGTCAGATATCAAAAATCATTTTTTTGATGAATGTGCACACAGCCTTAAAGGAAAACTTGAGTTAAACAAATCGTTGAGTTAAATTGTACCTAGATTTCTGTTCCACAATGATTTACTGCCTCACATACATGCTGTTAAACCCTGCAGAACATATTGACAACTAAACATAAACAGTATTTGGTTTTTTGTTGACATTTTTTATTAAAATGTTCAATTTCATTTATTTGTGTCTTCTAATATATTTCATAACCGTATCTAAAAATGTTTATAAAATGAAAGTTGTCTTCCAAAGTGAAATATCCACTGTAAAAAAAACAAACAGATATTTTGATTATAATCATGAACAGTTCAATGAGAGACGGGCTTTTTTCTTTGACGATTACATTTAAAGACAAAGTGCAACATTAATAAAAGTATTTTGATTCCTTACAGTTAACGGTTAGTTTTTCAGATGTTCACATATTCTACATAATATAGAAATATGCTTCTTTACTGTTCATTGCTTATATAAAACAATCTGATCTATTTTTACCCTTCTCCCATCCACACATTTTTTTAAATCTCACAGGCCCTTCAGGTAGCTTCATGTAGTGTGCTATAAAGTAATCAGCTGACATTTCAGAGCAAAGAATCTATTCCCTGACCTTTGAGTGTGTACCAAGGCTCGTGGATACAGAGAGCTTTTTTCACTTTCATCTCTTTAATATGTGATCCTGGAACCAATCACAACGCCTTTGAACTGCAGGGCCAGGAGGGTACAAACAATCCCAAATGCAGCAAAAAAAAAAAAGGACAAGTACTTGCAACAAAAAAAAGTGCTCTCTAAAAAAAGAGGCTTGTAAGAATTAGTTTACAATTGGTTGCTCCACTTTGGCTTTTAGAAGCACATGTTCTGAGTTGTATCTCTGAGCAGTTTAATCTATAAATTAAAAAACATTTTTCTTCAGCATGAGGCCAATATCCCTTTTTTTAATCCAAATATTTATTATCTTTTTGTTTTAAATGAAGCATCACGAAGCTGAGCTAAATTTGCTGTGTAATGTTTTTGTTTTAAGTCTTAAAATAACACCTGGTCTTTGTCACATCATGGGCTAGGGTCGATTTAGGGCAACACTAAGCTAAAACCCTCCCTTTGAGAAATAATTGATGAGTAAAGTGTGTGTGTGTTTATGTGTATGTGTGCATGCTATTTTTGTCCCAGGGACACAAGGAAGCATGCTCCATTCCACTCCCCTGGGCATCATGATACTATAATACTGTGTTATGAGGCATAAAAGTGGTTGCACAAACATCTCAGACTCACAATGTGTATTTGCTCACACCAATACCATAACAGTAACACATCACATGTTGCTTGGTAACTAATGGAAAGCTCTGAATGGGTGCATGATCGCCCAACTTCATTAGAGTAAGTGTGTGACATAATTAAATTAGCGTTTACAAGTAATGGTCAAATGTCATGATTTTGTTACAGTGGTCCTTATATTGAATTCTTTTCACCCAAATCTTTGTAGGGTTACTTGTTTTTTCATACACTTTTATTAACCATTGTGTCATTCATTAAAACTAACGCACAAATCATAAATGAAACAATCGATATGTTGTACCTATAGAATGCACTTTCTGATCCCTGAAAGATAATGCAAAGATAAATGTTCCTCTCTGCGGGCAGCTGAATAATTACACTATCTAACCGTGAATCATACATGATCCTTGCCTCCCACATTATGGCAGGATAATTGTGTTTCCATGGCAATGCAATCTGCTCCCATCACTCTGGTTTTACACCAGATTGGAACCAGATGGATATTCACAGCCTCAGATAGGTGTAAAAGACGTCAGGGGAAGTCCTCTACCTTGAATGTATAGGCATGTAAAGGTAATCTGTGTGTTTTTATGAAGTTCATAAAGTGTTTTCTTTACCCGCATCTTTAATGGCTGTACAAACTGGTGGAGCAATCCACAACAACACATGGGTGGGAAGGCACTGTTCAAACCCATCCTACTAAATGCTATAGTCTAAAGATGTCAGCTTTGTTTGAGCATTGAAAGTAAATGTCACTTATATCAGACAGCAGCAGTGAAGTTGACACATGTCAAATGTATAAAGTTCATATAATAGTAACACTCAATCTTCTTTGGCACATTTGTCATGAAACTAGAGTTGTATACTTCCCTTCTTTATGTCTAAAGTCCTTAAAAACTATGGTTTTCATAGGTTGACAACCTATAAAGTCAACAATCAAAAGTAATGTAGCTGTTCTGGAGCTCTCTATTGTGTCACCAATGTGGACAGGAAAGCCTTACAAGTCATCAGTACAGGGAGATTTAGAGATTTGAAGGAAAATTAAGGAAGAGCGACAACATAATGGGCCTTGTTAGCTAATGAACAAGAACATGCATAATATGGATATTTTCAAATGCTTGTTGAAGTCTGTTAAACTTTATATTTGGAAAATCACGATGAATTCACAGCTTTAAAATAGGCTATATAAGAATATGTAAAAACGTTGGCTCAAACAAGACCATATTAAACCTATAGCATTCATCATTTGGAGTTAGCATACAGCTAAGTTTAAAAACTTCAAGTGGATATATTTTTTCTCTTTCAATTTCATGATTTCTTGTTAGTTTTGATATGATTGTGTGTTAATAAAAAAAGAACAACTATGGGGCTGTTTTCTCATTGTGTGGTGGGCTTGGTGCATATTAATGCAGCTTGTTATGAACATGATGAGTGGGTGTGTGAGAGGAAGGAAAGCTGGGCAGCTGGGATCAAAGGGGTTACAACTACACTGGCTCCCCAGAGTGAATGTTAGCTGTTGGCAGATGCATGTCGTAGTAGGCTAAAACTCAAGTGTTTACAATAGGTGTTTACACACGTTTAAAATGTAAAATAGCCACTGTTTGCATTTGTGTGTAAGAAATTAAATGAGTAGCTTTCAACATGTGTCGTTCATCCAATCATCCCGGCTTCATTCTTGTAAACGGGCAGCAGGTGGTTTATGTTCTTCCTTTTTTTTTTCTCTCCTGGAGGAACCTTAACCTCTCCTCCTCCCACGCAGACCTCACAGGCGCTCTTCTCCGCCGGAGGCTGCGTGGAGAAGCACACACCAG